AGCTCAACATAGAGTCATATAGCATTGCCAGACTGGCAGTCTGTAATCTTATTACTTGTCAGTGCCTGAGCAGAGAGCAGACATGGTGTGCTCTCTCTAATTTTCTCTGACAGTGGAAAAGACTGAAATTCAAATACCCTAGGTCTAGATGAGCAGAATTTTAGCAGCAACAATTTAGTTGAATGCTAAGCTCTTAGGAGGGAAAGTATTATATTAATCTAGGGTAATGGTTACATATTTGAAAATATGTAAATGCTATGAACTATGATTTTTAAAAACCAACAACAGTTCATTTGAATTTTTTATATAATATAAAAGCAACATCAGGATTATTCAACAATTTAAGCCTGTATCAAAGCAGAACATGGAAACTGACTTCAGGACACTGGTATGTACTGCACTGAAAAAGGCCACGTGCTTTTTTACATAATAATACAGTACATATTAACAGGAGGGAAAAAAAGACCCTGAGTTTATTAGCATTCCTAGCACACAAAACTAAAACCAAGAAAACCCATTACTGGTAGGGAGTCATGGTAAATACTATGAATAGGAAAAAGCGTTTTACCCCTTCACTTTATCCTTTACTGAGTACAAAAATGATGCTGGCCACACTCAATAATGAACTTCCTTTTGAAGTATTTACTAGCTGGATTTGTTTTGTCTCTCTGGAATCCTCTTTGCTTCTCTCTGCTTCCCTGACTCCTACTTATCCTTTAGGTCTTAGCTTCCTTAAAGGCACCTTGCCTGTGACCCCAGTTGAAATTAGGTCTTCTCCATATACTCTGTCATATCACTTTTCATAATTTATAATTGCCTTGCTATTTATGTAACTATTTGTTTAATGTTTGTGTCCTACATCACTTTGTAAGCGCCAGGGACAGCAGCAGCCACTTCTGTTTTGGTCACTGCTGTAAAACCCCAGTGTGTTTCATAATAGTCTAGCAAATAATGGACACTCAGTAAATATTTGTTGAATGAAAATGCTGCTATCAGAGCTCCTTATAATTAGAGGCTTTGCTAAGAAATGAGGTAATGTACGTGTAAGGGGGAGTTAAGGGAGGGGGAGAGAAAGAGTAGATCAACCTGTGATGTTACCATGAAGTAATTTCGATTAAGTCCTCTAACCTCCAGAGCCTTTGTTTTTACCTTGTCTTTAATAAAAGGGCTCAGATTCATTTAGTATACCATCTTTTGATCCCATTCAACAATAGTGACAGATTGTATAAGCTCATTTGAATGGAATATATGACAGATTAACTCCCCAAAAGAATATTTGAGATGTTCCAAATAAACATACTAGAAATGCTTGTTAGCTCATAGCCATTAGCAACAAACATATCTAATTGATATATAATTTATAAATTAGTAAGGTGTACTGTTCTTAGTTTTCTGGTTGAAGCATAAAGACAAAATTAATTAGAGTTATTAGATTCTTTTGATATTTAGTCTTAATATTTTGCACCCTATATCTTGTTGCATCTTACAGATCAAATCAAGATTCCATACGACGAAACAAGGAGAAGGAAAACAGATGGGATGAGTGGGCAGAAGCTAATAAGACAGCTCAATTAGTTTCTTCTATTTGTGTTCATGCTGAAACTTTAAAAAATATTTTTATGCAAAAGTATAACACATGGTTTACTAATAATTATCAATAGTTCTGATAGTCGATTGTAATTCCAAGACAGTTACGGGTATTTGGTTGATATTAGCATATGTTATAAAATGGAAATATAGTGGAAAGATATCTATCAAAAATAGATCATTATCGGACACATAAGTGTGTTGTATTTTGAAGTATTTAACCTGTATACGATATTATTCATAGATGTTTACTAACTTTTTCAAGCTTTTTTTCAGCTTTTTGAAACTACTCAGATCAGGTATGTTAAGGACCTCATTACCTCATAAGAAAACGTGTTCTCGTTAGATTGTTGGAGGTGAAATGAAGTAATATAAAGAATGTGGGCTTTGGAGTCAAGGAAGCTTTTGTGTGAATCCCAGTTCCATCACTTATTAGCTGTGTACTTGTGGGCAACCCACAATTCCGAAACTCTGATTCCTTCTTTGTAAAACTGAGGTAAACAAATCTAGGGTCACAGCAAGGATTTAATGAAGTATCATATCTCAGTTGCAGTGTTTAGTGTAAAGTAGGAGCTTAATTGTTAATTCCTTCATCTAATTACTGTGGGAATTGCTAAAACTTACTGAACACTTACGGTAAGCCAGGTACCATTGTAGGTATTGTACATGCAGTAGTAGCTCAGTCCTTGTAATATCTTGTGAGATAAGTAAGCAGTGCTGTTATCTTCATTTTACTGCTGTCCTCTGCAGTGATATTGAATAAAACCAGTTGTTCTCTTAACACCTTTTCAAATATTTGAAGACCATTATTCTATTTGGTTTTGTTAAACGTACTTGTCACATGACATTGTTTTCACCTTTATCTGGATACATACTCTATCATTTTTTAAATCAGTATAGCGCTAAAAAATGTGGACTGTAAAAATAAATACGATGGTAATATATGCTGACTTGCAGCCAATATACAGATTGACGCTGATGTGTTCACAGTGTTGTGGGGGTTTAGGTTTTCATTGGTTCTTTTAGTCACCCATTATGTTAGCAGCTCGTCTTAAACTCTTGGGTTGATAACTCCTCTAATGAACAGGCTCTAGGTCAGCATTTCTCCGTTTCTATATTGCACGTTTAACTTTTTGAACTAAATGCCTAAGCTTTACACTCATCATTGTTACAGTTTGCTTGAATTTTCGTTTATTTCTCCTAGATTGTACCATCTGAAGATTTTATAAGCATATCTTCCATGTATTTATTGTCTTATGAATAATCGAAAACAATATAGGGCTAAGGGCAGAGTTCCAAGGCACTCCCCTAAGGACTTCTCTGAGTTGATACAGAGCAGCAAACTTACCCAACTACAGTATCGTGCAACTCACACCCAAGCGACATATTTACAAAAATAGCATGGAATACCATCTTTGAGTACTGTTTCTGCCAGAATACACTATTTTTTTTCCTGGCTTTGCTAATTGTGTGATCTTGGGCAAGTACTTTAATCTCTAAGCCTGTTTCCTCAACTATATAATGGGTTGTTGTGAGGATTAAATGAGAAGATACATATGGAGTGCTTAGAACAGTGTCTGGCAGATAGAACTCAGTTACTGTAAGTTATTATTTCCTCCTTCTGAAAAGGCTAATAACCACTTTTTCCCAAGGTAGAAATGTAGTTGGCATTATTTGTTCTGTTTAAATTCACGGTGACATGAATCATTAGTGATCATTGTACTCTTTTCTAGGTATTCAAAACCCATTTGCTTTCATAATCTGTTCTCAGATTTGGCTGAGGGTTAATGTTAAGTTTATACGTGTGAAGTTTCCAAAATCTGTTTCCCAACTTCTCCATGCCACAAAACTTGAAGCACCTCTTACCCATCTCCAGGCCTTGATTATTTCTCTCTTTCTGAACTCTTTCTCCAAGATTATAGGAGTTAGCTTTGTGATTGCACTTGCTAATTGCTTTAGCAATATGAATGGATTGCATCTTGCACTCAAATAAAGGTGTTTTGTCTCTCTTACTCACCAGGCTTAGGTTTCGGTTCTCAGTGCTCTTCCGCAACTTTAGTTTAAAAACTGAAGGAAGATAAGCAAAATATAAGTTGAGCAAATCTGCCTTCTCTACATGCTCTCTCAACCTTAACAACATCCTCTCTGAGCAGTGATTCTCTCAGTTCCTTGTTCTCTTTGAGAAATAGTATGTTATTGTGAAAACAGCACTTGGTAGGAAAGTATGAAACTTGGGTCCTAATTCTCTACCTCTTAATAGCTGTTGATGCTGGGAAAGTTACTTTATCTGCTTTGTGCTTTAGTTTTCTCACCTGCAAAAATAATATTTGTGCTGTCAAATTCCAAAGAGATACCATGAGTTAGAGTGTATGAAACATTTACAAGATGTTAAGTGCTATACATCATAAGGTGGGATAAAAATTATTTATTTAATGTAGCTCTAAAAGCTTTTGTTATCTTTAAGCAGTTTTTTCTAAGCCTTAGTTTTTCCTGAACTTTCTCATTCCTAATACTACATCCATTTGTTTTTGCTTTTCTATTAATGTTCATCCTAATTTGTTTACCTCCCTTAACTATTCTCCAGAGATTCATTCTACAACCACACTGGATGTTTCACTCTTTTTCATCATTGGAATTATTTACAGGTCTATAGATATAATTTGAATGGAAAGATCCATCTCTTGTGAGCCATGTCACTTTGCCATGGGGGTCACTTAAAATTTTTTTCTTTTGAACTGTCCTTATGTAAAACTCATACATGTGTAACTGTGCTAAGTGTTCTTTTTTACTTTTAGAAACTTTTTATGGGGAGATCGAAATCGAGATTGCTTTCCTCCTACGTTCCTGCCTTAAGTATGTCTTCTGCAGTTCTTTGTATGCCATGTAACTGTTTAGTATATGCCCTCCTGCTTCCTTAGTTTTCTGAAAGAGATCTGTCTACAAAGCAAGTCAGGACTCATGTTTTGGCAGAATTAGGCTTTTAGTAGGAAGAAGAATACTTTTATCTATGTTAGGACAGTATTATACATCTTTTGTATGGCAGAGTGGTATATACTTTATTTCTATGTGAATGTCCGTTTTACTTTTTTTGGCCCCTTCTATTTTTCTGTTTTTGTCATAACTCAGTTGTGTATTTGTGGAATGAAAATGTTTTGATCTGCAAGTTTCAGGTAATAGGGAGGAATTCCAGGGATACTCTCTTTGAGCAGGAGGCTCTCCCTGAAATTATGCCTGTAGTGAAAAGTGGCTCTGATAACTAGACCAAAAAATGGCTACCCATTAGGATTTATTGGTGAATTATAAACATACAACCAAAAATTACCATTTTTAAAAAAAGTATAGAGATTCTTGTATTTTTGAAATAATATCAAGTGAGTATAAAGTATTAAAATTTTTTAAAAAATTTATTCCAGGCTGACTACATTTCAGAAAGCATCAACTTTTCATGATGGACCCATTTATCAAATGGAATATGCCTGTACTACTTTAAAAAGCTTTGTGCTTAATCCTGGAAAATTTACTCCCCTAAAATGAAAATGAAGACATTTGAGAAGGTGATTTAAGGTGTGAACATTTGAGGAAGTGTCCCATTAAATCAGTGAACCAAAGGATAAGTACTGAATAGATTAATCCTAAACACTTACTGTTTTTTAAACCAGGAAGATTTCATCTTGACAGAAAAACAGTTTTTATTCATTATGTATTTTATGAAACTAAAAGAGAGAGACAAGAATAGACTTAAAAGAAAATAGATGAAGATGTTCAGTAAATAAGCAATGTCAGTTCTCTTCTGATGAGAATAATTCCGTGATGTTAAATCCTTTCCAAATCCCTGGTTGTGGTCCTAAAGACAAGATTCTTTTTTGATGGGACTGATATTACGGGAAGTAGGACCTTTTGTGAATTCAACTCACAGTTGAAGAACTTGCCATCATCAGCATGAGTGGTTTAAAAGAGGAAATAAAGAAGCTTTCAACTAAATCGAAAAGTACAGTCATTTTTTCACTGCTGTGATTTTAAGGCCTCCTCATAACCATTGAAAAAGAATTGACAACTGTTTTAAAAGACTTAAAAAAGGCAGATGTCTGCAAACAATTCTCCTCCATCAGCCCAGAAGTCTGTATTACCTACAACTCTTCCTGCTGTGCTTCCAACTCCTTCTCCGTGTTCAAGTCCTAAAACAGGACTCTCTGGGCGACTCTCTAATGGAAGTTTCAGTACACCATCACTCACCAACTCCAGAGGCTCAGTGCATACAGTTTCATTTCTACTGCAAATTGGCCTTACACGGGAGAGTGTTACCATTGAAGCCCAGGAACTATCTTTATCTGCTGTCAAGGATCTCGTGTGCTCCATTGTTTATCAAAAGGTACTTACTGTGCATGCTATTTTTGTCAGTATTTCTAATTAATATTGTTTACAATGCTTTCCTATAAATTATACATGCAACAATGAGTTAACACATATGGATCAATCAGTTGTTTATTGATTCTGAGCATTTTGGGAATAGTCCTAATAGACTAAAAGCCTGAAGTCTGAAATTTCAGAGTCTTAACAGCTGGAGCCTATATCCCAGCTTTAAAATACTAATTATTTAGTTTGTCTCTTTAGTAAAGCAGGAAAATCATTGTGAAGTCAAGAGGACTTAAGAAATCTTACTTGTTTTCAGAGAAAACAAGAGGTAGAAGGAGTAAAGCATCAAGGTGGCTTACTAAAAGGATGGGACCTAGGAGCACCTGAGGCCAGGTCCATACCTTGTTCTTCCTGGGTGCCCTGTATTCTGCCCTTTTGTATATCCTCCTCTTTCTTCCCTTTAGATCCTGATTTTACTTAAACTGCTGAGGGCCACTCTCATTGTCTCTTAAAAATAAGTAAATGAGCTTTTAGTAAATATCAGAATATGTGAAAATTTGAAAATTGAGGGTTATTTTGTTTATTTCCCATCCATCCATCCCCTGCCTTGTATGATACCATTTTTTAAAGACTCTTAGCTAAATATCTTTAATAATTTGATGGAAGAGTTGGTATGTTCTGTATTATCAAGAACTTATGTATATAGGTAGTGTGAATCAGTTACATTTTCTTTTTTAATGGACCATGCCTGTGTTTCAAATTTGTTTCAGACAAATTAGCATACTTTGGTTTAAAAATCGTATCAGTAAGATTAGTATATTTGGATTCACGCCCCTCATTTTACTGTTTTTATTTCAGTTCCTATGCTTTGTATAGTTTTTCCTTATCTTCTGTTTTTATCTTCTGGTTTTACCTTATCTTATGTTCTGTTGTAATTAACAGTCCAAAAATATTATGTGGTTCGTAAAAATGACCTGTGTCTTCTGCGTGTTAGCAGTGACTTATCTATTTAAATGTGGCCTAAAGTAAGGTTAAATTTCCTTTCGTAGGTCTGTAGAACCATCTATGTGTCTTTAATTATCTTTGCTTTTAATGTCCCTTTCATCAAATATTAGCAGGGGTTTTTATAAATATTTTTGCAAAAATGTTTTTAATTTAAAGGTAAGATTTTAACTTAAATAGCATTTGTAACTTTAATGTTTCTCTTTTTGAGCCCATTGAAATTCATAACTAATGTTTTGGTAGAGTCTGTATTATTTAGTTTTCAATCTTTGGGAATTTCACTTCCTTCTTACATTTGTACAGAGGCATACAGATTTTCTACAGGATTATTTTAGAATTAATATTACTTCCTCATTAATATAGATGTGAGAAGTTGGTCAGGTGGGTCATGTTCTTGGGAAACTAGATTAAAAGTCATAATCCATGAAAAATTCATATGAGGTAAAGAAAATAAAACAAGGTATGGCTCCAGAAAAGATAATTCAGGATAAACTTTATACAAATATAAAGCATGTTGATTATGGAGGTAACCAGCATAAAATGAATATCATAGGGAACTGAATTTGAATCAGTACTATAGTGGTATGGGGATATATTTGGCAAAAATATATAATAATATCTGTGGCATAAACTTACTACACACTTTTACATGTGCTAGAATCCTAACTGTTGTTTAAGTGTAGTAAAAAAGAGTATTGAGCTTGTAACTAGGTCAGCTCTGTTGTTTATTAACTGTATAACCTTGTATATGTGACTTGACTTTTCTGGATTACATTTCAAGGTTTATCAGATGATTGAGTTGGGATGATTTCTGGTGTGTATTTCTAGCTGTGAAATTCTGAATCATTTAATCTAAATTTAGGAGTTTCAAGGGATTGCCTGCTCAGGTCCTAACTGGAAAGAAATCTTAAGGGAACTAGCTCAGATTCTGGAGTTTAATAGAGAGTTTCATGGATCCCTAAGTCATCTGGGAGATGGAAAAACCATGTCAGAAGTTTTTTTCTTTTTACCTTCACTCTTGTCTTTGGTTCTTGCTTGTAATCATTACCTATTACTTAATTACCTATACATGCACAGCTCCAGGTTAACTTCCAGGACTCTCATGGGCATACTTGCTTTTCTTATGTCTGTTATTAGTAAATACATTTATTGACCTTTTAAAGATAGAGCACTGGCTAAATTTTAGGAAATGAATTAACCAGATGTTGTCCCTTCTCTCAAAAAGCTTATAGTCTGGTAAGGGAAACTGTCACCAGACTAAAACATGAGAAGTAAAAAGTGAAGTTGAAATAAAAAGTGCTCTTCTCAGGTTGAAAAAGAATGTGGAAGGCTTCATATGAAAAGCAGCATTTCATTTGATACTTAAAGAATGAGCAAGATTTCAGTAATATGAGAGGTAAGGAATACATTCCAAGGGAAAAATATCAGGATGAGCAAGGATATGGGAGAGGGAAGGAGGAAAATTATAATTGACAAACATTGAGTGCTTATTCTGTGTCAGGAACCTAACACACACTTAGTGCTTAATCCTCACAACTGTTTTTGGTGCATCTCACATAGTTAATTTTTTTTCTTGTAATGAGAACTTTTAAGATCTATTCTCTTAACTTTCAGATATAAAGTATTGTTAACTATAAATTTAATGCTGTATATTACATTGCCAGAACTTACTTGTCTTATAACTGGAAATTGGTATCCTTTGACCACCTTCACCCATTTCTGTACCGTGTACCCTCCGTCTCTAGTAATCACCAATTCTAGTTTTTCTAGATTCTGCATGTAAGTGAAATCATTTGAATATTTGTCTCTCTCTGCTTGACTTCTCTCACTTAGCGTAGTGCCCTCAAGGTCCATCCATGTTGTTGCAAATGGTATGGTTTTCTTCATTTTATGACTGAATAATATTTCATTTTGTGTGTATATACACACATACCCCACATTTTCTTTATCCATTCTTCTGTCAGTGGACACATAGGTTGTTTCCATGTCTTGGCAATGGTAAATAGTGAAGCACTGACACAAGGGTGCAGAATTCATTTAAGATAATGATTTCATATCCTTTGACTGTATACCCAGAAGTGGAATTGCTGGATTGCTTGATAATTCTATTTTTAATTTTTGGGGGAACCTCCATACTGTTCTATAGTGCATGCACCAATTTACGTTCCCTCCAACAATGCACGAGGGTTCCCGTTTCTCCACATCCTTGTTAACCCTTGTTATCCTTTTGACAGTAGCCATTGTAACAGGTGTGAGGTGATAACCTCGTTGTGGTTTTGATTTGCATTTCCCTGATGGTTATTGGTGTTGAGCACCTCTTCATGTTTCTGTTAGCTATTTGTATGTCTTTTTTGGAAGAATGCCTAAGTTCTTCTGCCTAGTTTTTAATTGAACTGATAGATGAGTTTTTGTTGTTGTTCTGTTTTTTTGCTACTGAGTTTTATGAGTTCTTTCTATATTTTGAATTTTAACCTTTTGTCAGATATAAGATTTGCAAATATCTTCTCCATTTCCATAGATTTCTTTTTCATTTTTTAATGGTTTTCTTTGCTGTAGAGAAGCTTTTAGTTTAATTTAGTCACACTGGTTTATTTTTGCTTTTGTTGCCCTTGCTTTTGGTGTCAAATCTGAAAAACCATTGCCAAGATTGATGTCAAGGAGCTTATGCCTCTATGTTTTCTTCTAGGAGTTTTATGGTTTCAGGTCTCATGTTCAAGTCTGTAGTCCATTTTCAGCTGATATTTGTGTATAATGTAAGACGGGGGTTCAGTTTCATTCTTCTGCATGTGGCTATCCAGTTTTCCCAACCCTGTTTATTAAAGAGGCTGTCCTTTCCCACTGTATACTTTTGGCTTCTTTGTTGTAAATTAATTGACCATAAATGCATGGGTTTATTTCTGGGCTCTATTTCATTAATTTTTATGTGTCCATTTTTGTGGACATATTACTTTCATTGCTACAACTTTGAAGTATAGTTTGAAATCAGAGATGTGATGCCTCCAGCTTTGTTCTTAAGATTGCTTTGGCTCTTTGGGGGTCTTTTGTGGTTTCATGCAGATTTTAACATTATTTTTCCTATTTTTGTGAAAAATGCCATTGGAATTTTGGTAGGAATTGCATTATTTGTAGATTATTTTGGATAGTATGGACATTTTAACAATGTTAATTCTTCCAATCCATGAACATGGAATATCTTTCCATGCGTTTGTGTCTTCTACAATTTCTTTCATCAGTGTTTTGTAGTTTTCAGTGTGTAGATCTTTCACCTCTTTGGTTAAATTTATTTGCAAGTATTTTATTTTTGATGCAATTGCATGTGAGATTGTTTCTTAATTTCTCTTTGCAATAGTTATTACTGTATAGAAATGCAGCTGATTTTTGTACATAGATTTTTGTGTCTTGCAACTTATAATTTTAAAATTAATTCTAACAGTTCTTTTGGTGGAGTCTTTAGGGTTTTCTATGTACAATATCACATCATCTGCAAATAGACAGTTTTGCTTCTTCCATTCTGATCTGTGTGCCTTTTATTTCTTTTTCTTGCCTAACTGCTCTGACTAGGACTTCCAGTACTATGTTGAATAAAGATGGTGAGAGTGGACATCTTGTCTTGTTACTGATCTTAGAGGAAATGATTTTAGCTTTTCACCACTGAGTATGATGTTAGCTGTGAGCTTGTAATATATGGTCTTTTTTATGTTGAGGTACATTCTTTCTACTCCCTTTGTTGAGAATTTTTTATCATGAATAGATGTTGAATTTGGTCAAATACTTTTTCTACATCATGATTATCATGGTTTTTATCTTCATATGGTTAATGTGGTATATCATTTATTGATACTTGTATGTTGAAACATCCTTGCATCCCTGGAATAAATTCCACTTGATTATGTGTATGATCCTTTTACTGTGTTGTTGAATTCAGTTTGCTAATATTTTGTTAAGGATGTTTGTATTCATGTTCATCAGGAATATTAGGCAGTAATTTTCTTTTCTTGTAGTGTCCTTGTCTGG